CCAAGTTGGATCCCTGGTACCAAAAAAATAAAGTGATGTGAACCAAACGCTCAGGGTTCTTTGTCCACTAGTAGCAGAGGCCCCTGGTCCCCTCATTGTAAATTATCTTTGTGTCTTTTGTCTTTCATTCCCCACCCTGCATCAGGGATAAACTCATAGGCTGGTTCTCACACTTAACAGCTAATGATTCTATTATGGGTTTTTAAAAAATTCTTTTCTCCATACCCTATGCTTGGGGGGTAATAAAACTACATAATTACTGAAGATTTATAATTTTGGAAGTTGAGACTTGGCAAAGTAAGTGCCACAAATCACAGAAGCCAGGAAACCAGGCCTCTCTGGCTTCAAAGCTGATGCTGCTGAAGGGAGGAGGAAGGGAGAAAAAAGGGCAGTCAAGAAAGAAGGGGGAAAAAAAAGAAGGAAAGAAGGAAGGATGCGAAGAAGGAAGGACAAAAGGGAAGGAGGGAGGAGATTTATTTTGAATGATTTTTAAATAATTACACATCTTTTCAGACCTTTGGTACAGGGGTCAGGTGTTTAACAGGACCGAGTGAAGTGTGGTGCAGCATGGCTGGTAACGCGTATCTAATTCTGCACCACATAGTGTGGAAGGGTTTAAAGATGCAACCAGGTATAATTATTTCTATTTAAAAGACTTTATAATCTAGTAAGTGTGACAGAATGAAACTTTGGTATGGACTGTGAGTGCAACTAGAACACAAAGCTAACTCTCCTTAATTCTGGTCTATTCCAGAGAGCTATTCTGAAATCCAATCAGCGTGTATCTGCTTTGGGAATGAAGAATTACCTACATATTGTTGGTATATTAATTACTTTCGGAAGTTAACAGTCCTATCGGTCCTACATTCATGCCAAATCTACCCACTTCTCTTTCCCTGCACTCCTCCGGTCCGATGTATCATCATCTCTCACAGGGACTATTGCCACAGCTCGATTCTCTCTTCTGAATTCATTCTTCGAGCCATAGCCAAGGGGATCTTTTGAAACATAAATCTCATCTTGCCACTCTTCACTTTAAATCTGCATTCCCTGAAAGCTCAAATCCATCAGGGTCCTAATGAGCTCTCCACCCAGTCCCTCTGACCCACCCACCATCACTTTGCCTCTCTTCCAGCCACACTGGCTTTCTTCCCACTTCTTGGTCTAATCAGGCTTGAGGATCTTTGTGCTTTGAGGCTTCCTTTATCTGTGACCCTCTTAACCTCTCTCTGCACTGTCATATCCTTTGTGGCATTTGGGTTGTAGCTCACAAGCCTTCCCTGATGACACCATTATTTACATGTGT